GCTCTTTGGTCGAGAACTGCCGGCCACATACGCCCACACGGAGCGACTTTGCCATTTAGTTGCAGGTCGTAGGTTAATTGAATTTCCTGGTCACGAAACATTGACTTGAGCCCTAAGCACAACCACAGGTTGGCAGACTAAGCACAAATTATGTCATCTTAGCCGTTTTTCACAGGCCATCTTGAAAATCTACCAAGTTTCTGGTATGTGTGGTCCTTTGTTAGACGCTTTTCCGTGTTTACGCCACTTCAAAGCATCAGACAAAATGTTGCTGGAACTTAAGGTTTTAAGGAGAGAAGTCCCAGACTCGCTGTTTCTCCCACTAAGTATGAGTCTGCCCCGGCGGTCTGTACCGTCTTCAACATATCCGTGTTGCTTAAAAGCTGATGCTAGGCAAATCTGTTTGGCCACTCGCGGAAGCTTTTTAAATATGACTGCACACAAAGGCATTCGGACCACTGCATTTCACCCAGATTCTAGTTGACAGAGGTTTTAGTGGCAGCCAAAAATACCGAATTGATTGGATTTGTATGACAAATTATGCTGATCATGAAAGTCCTAAGCACTCGGCGAGACTGCGCAGATCCAACATGCAAACGAGATGAATGCTTCTAAAGCAACGATGATGAATGAAATTCATGCAAGTATTTTCTCAGCCTCCTGTGGAAACTGTAGACGAAACTTCGGTATTCACGCATAACGGGCCATCTATGAATGTGACTCGGAAAACCACTCGGATAACCCTGAAAGCACACCGCAGTCAAGATGCGAACCACCCTAGATAGTATACCTCTCGCAGCAGAAGTCCACCACCTGTGCCACCGTGACCTGGGAAGTGTCTTTCTATGAAACAAACCCAGGGATGGGTAGCTTTGAGGGTTACTGAACCAGGACACAAATGCACCCAATTCTTCCAAAGACACCTTGCGATTTTGACCTGAGGTTCAGCGAGAGATACAGAAAGATTGAGGTGCACAAACACTTTATGGTCACTGAAAATGATGGAGGTCACTCTGTGTTCTTTCCGCACTTTTAATCCTTCGTGGATACTCATTCAGGCCGCCAACAAGTCACGAAAGAATTTCTTCGTTCCTTATTATTCTGATGTAGGCCCAATCAGACAATAAACGACCGCGATTTAATTCCATGCCGATACAGAAGACAACAAGCTTGAAGACAGTCTTATACCGTTGTATAGTGGTTGATGACGGAGTGGAAATTGCTACCTCCTGATAAGCCTCCGCGGTCGGAAAGAGCAACCGATATACTCCACCACTTCTGATTTCGACTTTGGATTATTCTTACCCTTTTGATGTGATGGAGGGAAGTCCTGAATGAGGCGATGGCAAAACCGGCAGGCCCACCGAAGACACTTGTGCTCTAACCACCCGAAAATTCTAGCAAATTAAGATGATAATACAATGCGTTTGTGCAGTTCTGGGGCAGTGAGTAAGGTGTTTTCACCTCTGCTGACGTGAGACCGAATTTGTGACAACCACCTTTACGTAGAAGGTGCACCTCGCATTTACGAACAACAAAGACCGGAGTTCTCTATTATGTTGAGTTTCGAAGTTGTGTCAGGTCCGTTCTCAAAGTGATCCCTTCATACTGATTGTTGATTCGTCTTTACAGCATCATGCCACCAGTAAATTTAAAAGATCGGAAAATATGTGCGGGTACATGTAGTTATTAAAATTAAATGGAGAAGATGCCTGCATACTGAAGTCTCGGAAACGTGCTAGGTATCTCACTTCTTCAGAAATTGTGTAATTCACTTGTACGTCAGAATGGTGTTCGTGTGAACCTGGTCGTGGCCGGTCAGATATTTGCAGACCGGTTTATACTGTTCCTGAATTACCACCGTGACAGATAGCCTTACATAAAAAAGATACATAGGACATCTTTTTTATCCCACCACCGAGTAATACCAGTGTACCCATCCGCCACAGTCAGGCTGAGAAGGAAATAGTATTCTCCCTTATGCCTTTGGTCCCGGTGCTTTGGTTCAGTAGACATCATGCATCTAGATTAAGGACTCCAGTACTTCACAAGGCGATGAAATGGAAGCAACGTGCTCGTATTTGGCTGGATTAATTTGCTGGCTACACTTCGGGGTGTACGAGTTGTGATATAAATGCTTAATCTAAGGCGACAATGTCCGATCTACTGAATAAGTGAACATTCTGTGTAATATGCCACAAAGCGTGGGGCCTCTTTCTGAAGAACAGCCGTGCATGTTTTATCCCAATCTGCCAATGCATTCCATTTCAGCGGCACTAGTTTAGCGTATCTCAACTCAAAAGTCGAGTCAGGAGGAATCTTTGTTGGGGTGGGCATGTGCTTAGTCTTCAGCAACAAGAATATTTGACAGGTTTGGCGTACATTAAACCCACCAGTAATTTTCCTCGTGAGGTTTCTTTTTTCTACAGGATGGGTTTACTGCAGAAATGGAACCGACTGGTCAGATTAACCGTCCTAATTCGTTCACAAGAGACTAGGCCCCACGATCCCCCTTGAAGGACATAAAGTGGCTGGAGGAGTTGGCAGAAATACCAGAACTCAATTTTCATTCCCAACGACATTCACCGGCGAGGACTGATCAACCCTCTGGCAGAATTTATGACCAAGGAGGTTCAGTCTTAGATCCAGGGTTTACGCTTGGATGACCACAGCCAATTAACGCTGAAAAGTGTGTCATACTTGCCCTAGTCGATCAAATTTGGTGCTGTGAACCCTAGTCAGTTTAATTTATATTTACTCCGATTTGGTTCAGTTTATTTTACGTGTAGGTGATCACCAGAAAATGTCGCTGAAATCCCACCTGTACACGTAATCCAGTGTTGAGTTGTTTGCAACGCAAGACGAATTCACGTAAACGGTCAAAATTTTGACACAAATACTGACCGGAAATCGGGGCTGATCCACCTACCTATATGATTTCACACTCCTTGGGCAGAGGAAAAATCGCATGAAGACCCGTGCTGGTCTAGGCGTAAGACGTTCACAAGTAAGAAGCCATGCGTCTGAGAATAAATGAAGGATAGGCCGGAGAAAAGAGGGACAAAATGGGCATTATCCACCAGAAATAAGTTCACAAATATGATCATGTTACGTCCGAACAAACTGAATCGGCTACTGGACTCAGCGTGTCACTATGGGGGAAGGAAAACCACTACGCAGCACTGGTGCAGTATGGAAAGGACGGCTCGGATTACACAACGGGTGCCACTGGTGTGGGAAGACACGGGCCGAGAGTCAGTTATTCCTTTTTTAAATATGCAAGCGATGGTTTATATAGCATTTCCATGCGTGTAATCCGACGAGCCCAAGGGAGTTTATCAACTAAACTAGATCAGTTGCAGTAGGCCGGGCTGCCTAGTGGATCCAGTTTCCTGTCATGGAACTTCCTGTTTACGTAAACGTTTTCTGGTCATGTAGCACGGATATTGTGCCAAGTCAAACTTAACCGATGTGTGGCGAGGCGATTTCAAGTCAAAATGAAACACCGGGGGCAAAAGTTTTGGAAAGATACTGCCGTGTTAACAACCATCATCCTTATATTTCATACAGGGAACAATCAATACCCAAAGGCAGATCGATGTGCGCGCGGTAGCATTCGTGTCGTCTCCTACTTAGGTGGGTAAACTCCTAGCTTAAACATGTTACTACGGGGACTATTTACACTGGTATGCAGTACTGTTTCAGTACCTAGCATGTAAGTCGGCTTGTGCATCAAGCCGAATCATCGGCCACCTCTATCTTTATTCTGTCCATAAGAGGTGAATCGAATCGAACGCGACTCCTCAGTTCGCTCATCTTGTGTGCGTTACTTGAGATAGTATCCATCTCCTCTTCACTTCCGAAGAGCACTTTGAAGATACTTCTTCAGCCAGGTTGATCTTCATTCTGTTAGCCCATTCTGGCGACTTTAGAGACATGCACTGCAGGTGACTTTTTCAGGAATGCGCTATCAAAAATATTCAGTTCACAGCCATGGAATCTAGTGGGGCCAGTATCTTTCGGGTATTCGAGATTTCGAAAGATCACAATAAGTGCTAAGTGAAGATCCCTGGACCTAGTATGATAGTTTTTCAAGACATCCAGTTTAGTCCGTTGCCTGGGAAGTCAAGAAGGGGTCACATGCAGATTTCTGTGACCGCTATTTACACCAGGATGGAGTCTGTTTGTCTTCACTGACTTGGCCGTTGCCTAGATGAAGAAAGGAGTCAGATTGTGTGGGACCAGTGTTTGTGACGACATTAGTTCCAAGGAGGTTCTCACGTGATCATGTAGAATGAGGGCAGATACCCCCCTCTCTTTGATTAGAATGTTGCAGGTCTTATCCTTAATGGCAGCTCCAAGCAAAAGGCAAAGCATTACACATGGGAAAGGATTTGAAATATGTGATTAAAAGTGTTTTTCGACATCAAATGTGTATATGCATATTGATTTCAATAATAATGACATATTAGCACAGGATATTTGCAAAGATATTTGAATGAAGTTACGCTGTACAGAAAACAGACCACCAGCTAACGTGGCATACATAGGAAGCAGTAGACTTACTGTAACCCTTATGTACAGGCTGTACTGAATCGTCGTATAGTATGACTTCAGATTCATAGTTGATTTCTTGCTCCGTTTGCCATCAGCATTCTAGTCAGCCACAGGGATTTCCACTATGAGAAATCCCATTCAAAAGCGGTAGAAGCTGAATCTGAAACTTGACTTGTTGCAGTCAAAACTACGTTAGGTGTAAAGGAAGCAAAAGTTTTCAAATGAGTGGAGGCAGTCAAATCCTTCTACGCGATTTCTGAAAGATACATGCGCCATTTGTAGTGAATCTTTCTGTCATTTAGAGAAAGGTCGTATGAAGGCGTTTACAACATGCCTAACGTTTTATTACTTTAGCAATAAAACACCTCTCAGTAGCGTTTACCGTTTGTTAGAGTTGACCTTCAGTTCAAGCGCGCGTGTCAAGATCCTCACGTTATAAAAGAATGGCTACTCAGGTTGCAGGCGGTTTACCTAAGGAGAAGCCAAAAGCTGTGCAGGTCTTTGGAAGAAAAGTAAGTGATATTTCCTAACGTTTTATGTTCCCCAGAAAACAGCAACTGCCGTCGCTCATTGCAAACTTGGGTCTGGAAGTATACGGGTCAATGGTAGACCACTAGATGTGTTGGAACCTCGCCCTTTATTGCCTAAGTTGATGGAACCAATCCTCCTTCTCGGGAAACATGGCATATCCAACTTGGATATCAGGGTACGAGTCAGTGGTGGAGGCCGAGTGGCCCAGATTTACGCAGTTAGACAAGCAATTGCTAAATCCATTGTTGCGTTTCACCAGAAATACGTTGATGAATGTTCAAAGAATGCTATTAAAGAAAAGTTCGTCCAGTACGACAGAAGTTTGTTGGTTGCTGATCCTAGAAGATGCGAACCAAAGAAGTTTGGTGGTCCAGGTGCACGTGCCAGATACCAAAAGTCTTATCGTTAAGTTGAAATGAATAAATCTGGATGGCTATACAATATTTCATCTTATCACTTAGTTGTACACGCTCTGAGTTTTTTTTCACGGAAGTTTTCCTTCTCGGTAGGTTTATTCATTAGCCAAGTTGGGGTTACAGGGTTATTTCAAACCAAACCTCGTTTGGTTGCGAAGCGTTGTTACTTGGGTTGTGTATTTTCGCAGACTAAGTCTTGGTGCCAATTCAGTATTAGGGACGATTTTGCCATGCAGACTTCATCGTTATAGTCGGCTGCTGAATATAAGGTTTTACTTGGCGTCTCTTTACGACACTTGGTCACAGGTAAATTGGGTGGCATAACTTGCGTTAATTAACTGTTTTGTATCTTGTATACTGTCGGAAAGTCTGCGATTGTGCATAGTATTTCTGGTTTTGAACTAGAACCTAGTCATTCTATATAGTTAGTTACTTTGAGTGTCTGTGTGGTCTCGAAGTACAACACGACAGCCGGTTTTTAACCGTAGCCCTCATGTCTTCTCTAGTACATTAGTTCGTCAAGGTAATATTTCACCGAGTACGCACTGTTAAGCTTGTCGATGTCTAACTCAAATTACCAGTTTGACAATTGCGGCGAGCAACCCACTTGACAAAATAAAGTCCTGATTGGTTATTCATCATGGACTGGCATCGGTTGGGGAGACATAAGAAGCATTTGACAGCTGGCTGGTCCTGTTATAAAACTCCCCAGCACTGCGCACTCATCACCCGGGAATCAAACCAGAGACCAGTTTCCGCTACTAGCACGAGTATCCACAACTAACTTGTCATAACAAGCTTCTATTCATTCCTCGATTGTTATGAGGTTAGTTTAGCAGGAGCTGCTAGCACAAAAGCCATGTTTTAGGGATATGAGTAGATTGCGGTTTTCGAGATGGCTGAGTAGTTCATCATCTCGAAAAATTTAAAAGATGTACTAGTTCAACCAACAGAATTATAGTTCATTGCGAATTGACGATTATATGTCTTGAGAACCGGGTTGAATACAATATTCTTCCAGAACTCGGATGGCGATTCTAATATAAAAACGTATCGGACAGCTAAGCAAGTGGCTTGTCAGTAATATCCGCCAAGAAGGAGAACAACTTGTGTGCAAATCATCAGGACCATGGGATATTCCAGGCTGAAGTACTGCCTCCCATGTAACATAAACTGGACCCGTCGATGGAGCATTTCTAGTAAAAGCAGTCACATTGGAAGTGTCTCTGTCCACTGGGGAAACTTCGGTGAATTACTCTGGACAAAATAGACTATTCTAGCTTCCGTGAACACACCTGAAAGAAAAGATGACAACACATCCTTTAGAAAGTACTAAGTACCCACTATTCACTTATCAGGATGAGCACCAACGGTTGTTTACTTTCGTTTTCGGTATGTAAGCGCTGGTTAGCACCATGTGTTGTACTGCTGACTCTTTGAACTAGCTCACCATCTGTGAATGAGACATCACGCCGATTGATTACTGATGAGTAAACAAATTCATGCTGTCTAGTTCTAAGTGCCTGCTGACTTCTGTCTATTATTTTGTTATGTGATCATCTTCGTAGGGGATACCCTATGATGCACTTGGGTTGATATTAGATGATTGGCAAATGCTCCTGCAATAGCATTCGCTTCGTCTCCTACTTAGCTGAGTAAACTCCCAGCTTCAACATGTTACTACGGGGACTATGTACACTGTATGCAGTACTGTTACAGTATCGTACGTGTTAGTCGGCTTATGCATCAGCGGCCCGTCTTTATTGTATCCACAAGAGGTGAATCGAATCAGATGCGACTCTCCAATAGGCGCATCTATCGTGGGTTCTCTTTATTTTTGATGAACGCATAATCATTCTTCAATTGGATTTATTCTAAACCTGTTTCATCGGTTTAATTTTGTCTCATCATGTAGCCTTAGGTTTCAGACTCAGACTGCCCCTAAAATGCCTCTAGATTCCGACTCGTCACCAGTGTTTTAGGATGGCACTAGTGGTTGATTGGCGCTCCTTGTGTATAGTAATACCAGGACCTAAATGCTCGTAGCTGCAGTTGGCTTTTTCTTACCAACGCGACTCACCACCTCTAGATGGCTGTGATTGGATTTGTGAAGCAATGATTTGAAAGGTCGCCGGTACATGGCGATCTACATTCCACTAACAAACAACTTTCTTTATTCAGCGCACTCTTTGGGTGCTTACGTGTACTAATAAATTAAAACCAGAACCTTATTATGATAAACAATCTTTCTCACAAGATGTAAAATGTATAACCACTACAACACACCGTCAGTACTTATCAATCAATCATTATCAACATAGGACGAGGCATTACTGCGTAGCGGTCCAAGTTGCCACACCACACTTCAGTTCATCAAGTAGGGAGGTAGTGAGGTGAAGGATGAAGATAAGTGAATGCAGTCAAAAGAAATATAAAGTACGAGAAGAAAGGAAAGAGGAGCGACAAAATGGTGAGATTCGGTATAGTGTAGTTAAGATGAGGATAATGTGTGTGGGGATACATCTGAGCCACTGACATCGGTTCTGAGCCATATCACCTAGAGTCTCCAACCACGGTTCTACTCTGCTGCAGTCGGCTTTTTCTCATCACCTCTGGATGGCCAGAACATGACGACCTACATCCCACTAGCAAGCAACTTTCTTTATTCAGCGCACTCTTTGGGTGCTTACGTGTACTAATAAATTAAAACCAGAACCTTATTATGATAAACAATCTTTCTCACAAGATGTAGAGGGTGTGACTACTTCAACACTCCATCAGTACTTATGTACACTACTGCTCAACCTAGTTAAACTTGGAGGTAACTCACATTTCGAATCAGATTTTCATGTGTATAACGCTATACACTACAACACAGCAGCACCTAGTTATTGGATTGTACGCAGTTCACATACTGCAGACCGAAATTCTTAAGTAAGATTTAGTACAACGTCGATGAATGGGGTTCAGTGAACAAGCCCTATAGTCGTTATTGCTCAAGACGCACTGATGGTTCTTTCACATGCCATTAGTGCACGCTTCTTGGGCAGTCAGCTGTTCCGAAATTTCCCCGAATATAAAAAATAGTAATATGCGCCAGTCGATGCAAACCAACCCTTACAATGAAACATGTCCTCAGACAACCATCCCGTCGAATCTGCATATCTCAGACAAGAAAATAAGTCTCGACACTTTATCTATGAAGCTTTACACCTGGTAACAATCATTTGTCATCACGAATTCCGGACGTAGACTCAGTCTGCTCACTTCTACAATCTGTTAATTTGTTTCTTGGAATTCAATCTCTGTTGGGACGTCAGAAACGAGGGCTTCGCGTATCACTCTGAAGTATCATGCACGTACATGGTTACAGAAAGAATCTTATTGAATATAGTATCGGTACTTTCAATGTGAGCAGTAAAACTACTGAACAATGCAATTAAGTTATTTAACGAATACGCGCAACAAGGACGTGGTATTCAAGTCCACTTGATTCGGATGTTCAGCTTGTAAACCAGGCATCCCAGGAGGAAATAGCAACAAAAGATAGCACACTAAAGTAACGCGTGTATTAAAGGATAAGCGAGTTTAGCATGACTACCTGATGCTGCAGTGAAACTAATATCCCACCAGTTATTCTCATCTCATTTCGGAAAAATTACGTGCTGACGATAGTCTGCAGCCTTAGGACTTCACGTTTGTCAATAACTTCTTCAGGAATTCATTGCGTGTATCCCATCGGTAGTAGTACTCTCTACTTCTCAATCATGCCTACGGCCTCAATACTAAGTCTCATTAGGGGAATTGTCTCGAAAAGTTTCAGATAAGTGAAATCATCACAAAGCATGCCAGTGGGTAAGATACCAGATGTGTTCATAGTCAATCAGCGAGTCCCTCCTAGCTAGAATTGTCTCACTAGCCTCGTGGAATGTAATCAAAGTAGTACGTTGGATGCTGTTCTCCAGTCAACTTGCTATCTCTACGAAGCTTGAGAATATACTGTTGCCTCATATCTGGCTGGACTAGTAACGAGGTGAAAATATTCCACCCACATACAAGAAATTTTGCGGTTGTTATTGCTGTTCGATACCATATTAATGTCATAAATTATGTTCATCGAGGGATTCGGTTTCACACTTTCGCTAACGACTTCACCTATTTCCGTTCCGGTTATACATTTCTGTAATATATATATATATATATATATATATATATATATATATATATATATATATATATATAATATTACCAGGAACAAAATGTTACATTTTTATTCAACTGTATATTTGATATACACATAAACGAACAATAGAATTTCATTTAGATCTTCAGGCTTTACTGAATATACATAGCTGAATACACATCAAAACTAAACCAACACCGTAGATCTGTCGGCTAGTGTAATAAATATTTTGAAATAACGATGGTGATAATAATACAAGTGATAACCTTGACTAATGTAGATGTAAGATAGATGATTACTGATGATAAAAGCAAGAAGGCAGCATGAGAATGTAGACACTTTGGTAATCAAAGTGGGTCGGAAGCTTTGGAAAGTAAAATTTACTGAATGTCGGAGGAGGAAGTGAGTGGATGAACAAAGTCTAAATAGATATAGTGAGTATATGCAGCGTGTAGGAAAAATCTCAATGATCAAGAAAACCGGAGAATGATAAAGCTTGACAACGAAGATGTGAAGAATTCTAGAAATCGGAACTGGAAGGTGAATGAGTAACCTCTCGAATGCGTTATAGAACGTACAAATTTCCGGTTACAAAGACTTGGATTCATTTCTCATATTCCCACAGTTTCTGTTGTGTGGAAGACGAGTTGGAATACATCTCAGAACATTAGATGGAATGACGACTGGCCACTAGCGACTGTCGAAGTGACTAGTTTCGGTGGTTTATTCTAGTGGGAACTAACGTCGTAGGTGAAATATCGAAAGCTGATTGGTTGGTCCGGCAGTTGTCGAAGTGGTCTTCAAAGTCGCCCATTAGATATGAGGTGAATAGTTCATGAGAGCATAGTTGTTATCTAACAAGTGATCACTATCAACGAGATGAGATAAAACAGAACTTCTGATGGGTTTTATCTGTCCCTTTCCCAACCATGAAGGTAGGAGGTGAGCAACACGTTCGTTAAGTTGTCTACTAGTACGCCCAATGTAGCCTTCTCCAGTAGAACAGCTAAACTTGTAAAAAAATACACGTATAAATGGCAGATCTAGTTACCTTATCTTTTGTCTTAGCAACAACAATTGGTTGACTGGGAAATAGGTCAGCCGAAATCGGGCCAAGTAATTAACCTATACGTATCCCATCAATCCGTTTATAATGTGAGCTATTGAAGATAAAATATACATTCATAGAACATCTCATAAGCAAATTCTTGAGGATGTGCACTGCAATCCCGGTACTGAATTATTTTTCCGATATTTGTTGACACAAACTTCACCGTCTCCAATAATGTGGTGAGGCATCATACGCTTTCCGTTTACATTCATATTATTCAAATTAGAAATAAATTCAAGGACGTCTTTTACACTGGTTAACTATTTTTCTGTGTAAGGGATCTAAAATTCTTACTAACCACTTTGCAACTGCGTAGTATAGACAGTTAGACATGTCGAAAACTTAACGAAAAGTGAGACCAGGTTTTTGTACTTTAAGTGGACCATACAACCGTGGTGTATTACTCCCTGTAGATCTAAGTGAACCCTACATTGGGCCAAAAATTGTCTCTCTCTTTTTGCTTCTTTGAGCGTATTTGTTATCTGCTTTTCCACTTAATTCAATATTAGATTTGTGTATTTGATTTATAATACAGTGCTACAAGATAATTTACTTGATGACGTTTCAAGTATGAAAGACCTTTGCACATTGCTTCAGTCCCATGACTGTAGTCTTGTAGATGGTCCAGTCCATCTTGGCTTATGCTTTCCTTGATCCCCTCATATCTTACTGATTTCTAGGGAAATCCATCGCTTGACCTTTTATATTAGGAAACTCAGACTGTCTGGCATAACTCAGCCTCTACTCTTATGTTTCACTAATTCTTAGGTTTTACCTATACTTACTTATTGTTTGCCATTCTTTCCTGGACTCTGGAAAAGAGACTGTGTTGTATTGCGTAGGATTTTGAAGGCTGTTAGTAGAGCAAGTAGCACACTCCAACCCAGCTGATAAATCCAGTCGTAGATAGACATCTGCACTCGTGTAGACTACGGGCTAAAAGTATTTTATCTCATGACAAGCATCCTCTGCATCTGCACTTTTCTATATGTTTGTCGTCTGCGATGACAAGAAGCAAATATATTAAACTCTATGCATATACAAAAATACAACCATTCCACCTAATTTAGCTTGTGCATCGTATGAAGAAAATCTTGTTAAAAATAGTCTTACCAATCAACTTTGTAATAGTGAACAGTTATCATGTCACTGAAGCCATTAAGCATTACAACAATCATCTTATTCAGTATCATATATTGTTAAACACAACCATTGGTACGTTTTAAAAATGTTGTGCAATGCGTAACCTGATGTAGTACCACATGCTGAGAACTCTGTACTGTAAACATAGTTATGGTGTGGAATATGGCAAGTATATTATCACTAAGTTATTGCTCATAATCATGTCAAGGTAATCACATTCCTCTCGACATCTGATTTTTATAGTTCTGTCACCTTATATTCTGTTGTTATTGATAATAAAAATTAACCATATTTTTTGGCATATGTATCACGTCACTCCTACTACGGAAATTGATCGACTAAACCTAGAGGATTCTCTCAAGAACCAGAAAGTCTTTTCCCTTCATATTCAATTCGATATGTTCGCAACTTTTCAGCTTTTGAACTGGAAAAGGTTCAATTAGAGATATTATCTTTGGGTGTGTTAGAGCCTATGATGAGTTGTCCAGGGAGCTATACTCATTGAGTGGTGCCCGTCAAGGGTGCACAGTCTCTCCATTATTATTCAATTTCATCACAGATATTATTATGGAGGTCCCCCTCTCGTCACTAGGTTACACAGACGTTGACCTAATCACAGGAGAATTTTCTTTAGATCTAGAATATGCAGATAACATAGTCCTGTTTAGTGAAGACTCTGACTGACGAGATGCAGTCTTCTGAACACTGAGTGGGAATCTGAGAATATTTGGGATGCGGTTTCCACCACCCAAATGCAAATTTTTGCTACAGGACTGGTCTTCAGCGGTACCCGATTTCGGCTGACCTATTTCCCAGTCAACCAATTGTTGTTGCTAAGGCAAAAGATAAGGTAACTAGATCTGCCATTTATACGTGTATTTTTTTACAAGTTTAGCTGTTCTACTGGAGAAGGCTACATTGGGCGTACTAGTAGACAACTTAACGAACGTGTTGCTCACCTCCTACCTTCATGGTTGGGAAAGGGACAGATAAAACCCATCAGAAGTTCTGTTTTATCTCATCTCGTTGATAGTGATCACTTGTTAGATAACAACTATGCTCTCATGAACTATTCACCTCATATCTAATGGGCGACTTTGAAGACCACTTCGACAACTGCCGGACCAACCAATCAGCTTTCGATATTTCACCTACGACGTTAGTTCCCACTAGAATAAACCACCGAAACTAGTCACTTCGACAGTCGCTAGTGGCCAGTCGTCATTCCATCTAATGTTCTGAGATGTATTCCAACTCGTCTTCCACACAACAGAAACTGTGGGAATATGAGAAATGAATCCAAGTCTTTGTAACCGGAAATTTGTACGTTCTATAACGCATTCGAGAGGTTACTCATTCACCTTCCAGTTCCGATTTCTAGAATTCTTCACATCTTCGTTGTCAAGCTTTATCATTCTCCGGTTTTCTTGATCATTGAGATTTTTCCTACACGCTGCATATACTCACTATATCTATTTAGACTTTGTTCATCCACTCACTTCCTCCTCCGACATTCAGTAAATTTTACTTTCCAAAGCTTCCGACCCACTTTGATTACCAAAGTGTCTACATTCTCATGCTGCCTTCTTGCTTTTATCATCAGTAATCATCTATCTTACATCTACATTAGTCAAGGTTATCACTTGTATTATTATCACCATCGTTATTTCAAAATATTTATTACACTAGCCGACAATCTAAGTTGTTTATTGAGTTTTTATATAGATCCAGACCTATATGAAAACATTAATTTCGCTCTGGTGTCCTGTTCCGATCTACATAATGGGAACTTACAGCATTACGAAATGGATGGCGTGGGAAGGACAACTCACTGCTGATATTCATGTCATGGAACGTTCCACTCTCATGGATCATCATTTCAACAAGTTTCTGAATGTCACATTGTGTCATGGTTCATTGGCGTCATAAGGCTAAGTTCTGTAGTCAGCCTCTGCCTCCACTTAGCTGCATTGAACTTCGAGACTACATTCCTAAACTGTGATCATGGTAAAGGGTGTGCAGAGTATTAGCCTAGTTTCTATCAAAATTAAATATCTCTCTAGCATCATATATTTCACTTTATACTTATGTGCTACTCTGTCCTGACAGAACCCGATCGGCTGACCTAAGTACTTAGCCTCACAGTAGACTGTGTTATTCAACTTGGTTGCACTTATCGCCTACACAGCTTAATGCTGTATGAAACAACCAAGATGTTCATCTGATGAAATTCTACCCAACCTATAAGAAGTCGAGTAATGTGGTAGGTTAAAAACTCCAAACTTCGTCAACTCCACTACATGTACAATAAATTCGACCAATCGTAAAATTAGCAGAGTTGATGTCAAAAACAAAATACATGTTGGAAGGAAGATAAGGATTCCGAACGAATAAAGCAGATTAAAAGCATGATGACAAAATGTACAAAGATGATATGAAACACATTTGATATGTACAGTATCTTGGGAATATCATAAATTGAAGTTTTGTGTCACGAAATATCTCATCGTCTGGAACGACGTTTCTTATTTATTATTTTCGATTTCTTTTTGCAGTTAACGAGGGGATCAGCTATGCTCTTGTTTGCCTTGTCTCCCTCACAGCTTGTCACTGCTGCTTGTTGAGTAGAATTCTAGTATATACAACAAATTTAAACAGTTAGGAAATTTTTTTAATGATAGAAAGCAAGTATACGAGATGAGGATAATTCGCAATGATACACCAACCAATCAGATTAGAATATACACAGAACTCGTGATTTTTCACAATGACTATCATCCTAGTGAGATGACCCACGAGGCTAACCAGGGCAACTACGCTTCTCAAAAACGAATATTGTACATCCAATTTCTCCTTCGAATTGGTGAATACACTGCGTGACAAGAATCCCATTGCGAGATACACTATATCATAATACACGTCTAGTCATAGAATATCCAACAAAATCACTGAAATGTGCCATATTTGCACATCGTTGTACACGGCTTTAAATGGTCAAGCATAACAGGTCGCTCATCAAGATAACTAAGAAGCTACTTCACAAAAGTCAGTGACCAGAAGGTTCGCGGTCATAATACCCTCGCGAAATCTTTTGCCCTGATTTGGGTGAACAAGCAGTATGACAACAAACCTCATTGTCATCCAAACATCTCAACATGCCCTTTGCGCAGATATAAGTTGCCAAACTTCAGTGTTAACGGGGATTCACATGAAAGCAGTACACCCCAATACATTTCAGATTGACTAGACCAGACACACAGGGGAATAATACAATAAATGGGGCCTTAAAAGGTCCAATAAAAAGGCCACCAACCTGCACTTTCGCTCCAACACCAACTTCAGCAACAATTCCACAATCCTGAAAGAAATCAAAATAACTTCGAGGAGTTCTCACCAAAAAAACAATGAATTATTCAATGTTATTGCACAGGATACAATCAATACGCATAAGCATCAGCAACAGATTATACATACTCAAGCGGATTACAAAAAAACGTTTACGCAGTGCGAGTACCTAGCACAAAAATAAGAGATCAACTCGCATTCAACAACCATGTACTGTTAAGAGAATTTTACAAAAGCACCCAATATGTCTCATAAAACAAAATAATTACATAAATAGTAACTCACTGGAACACCTGTTGAGAGAGAGTTAGAGTTACTGTCTTCATCACCATTGCCATCACCATTGACTTTAGGCTGTTCAGCCGTAATCTGATCATCAACAAATGTTGATTCATTGAAGTCAGTAGAAAATGACAGATTTTCGTCCAGAATAGAAATTGAGGTCATACCATTATTATCCTCAACAGTTCTGTTGGAACGATACTCCTTCAGGATACGACGGTATGATCCAGTTTTGGCGAGTTCCCTCGGGTACGAAAATCGTCGAGACTGAGGTGTTACACCTGTTGGAACGTAAATCTGGTACTTCCCTCTTAAAACATCTCCCATTTCTACCGGTATAACCCTCAGGTCTGTTTCCACCTTTTCGAAACTTTCAGTCGACTTCAAAACCAATTTTTAAAAACAAAACAACACATTAATGTAATCGAAGTAATGAAAGTTATGATTGACTAACTACAATCTAAATTCGCGTACAACTTACATCTTCAAAAAGTTTATCTCCAGCAGCTTCTAAACTCAATAAAGCAGCAGTCTGTCTCTCTACAGAAGTAAATAAATCACCCTCCACACACCTTTCTATATTTCTAGTCAAACCACACGCTTGACTATCACCATGGTCCTCGCCCTGAGATTGCCAAGTTGAAGCTCTCCTTAGTAGATCCCTTCCAAGGCCATCGGTAGAAAAATGTTCAACGCTCCTACACATACTGTCGAAGCAATCGTCAACTCCTACCTTCAACTTCTCGTGCTTACATGAAATCGTTTTCACTCCATCAATGAAGCCATTCACCGATAATACATTGGAGTCGTGTGCTTTGCAAACACGATCTAAAATACCTCCCCGTGTATTGAACAAAGAAGACTTCAGTCTTTCAACTTCACTCCGACTACATTCTGAGAAGGTTTCCAGTCGGGAAGATCTCGATGACAACTGTTTTGAAATCTGTCAAAATAACATAAACAGAATTTTAACAGGGCAATTCACACATTGAATCCAACCATTCTGCAAAATATCGGTTCATAAATCCATTTTAAAAGCAAGATTTATACTAGTGAGCTAAATCACCAAAACACAGTAATCGCATAGTAACGTCATGGAAAACAAAAACTGAAATTCTCAGTCACACGATGAATTAGAAAGACTTTTACTGCCTGCAGTATTGTATACCAAAACGGTTCCGTGAATTCAAAATTCTACATCTACCAGATGAAAAATCATAAGTTAGTTCCAATATTGCAGGTTTCCACTTCCTCCTGTCTTCTCTTCTATTAGCGTTAATGCATACTGTACTCTTTAACTCGTCAAGCAGTTGTCGCACCTACTGACTTCTGTGGTAGATAATAACATCATAGGCTATCACATGTCCCACTGCAACGTTAGACTTCAATTCTATTTCACAGACTCTTGTTTCGGATATACTATCTGGCTGCTTAAATCTCGATACATGGAGGGAGGTTTGGAACCACCACCCAGTAGTAGGTGGCCAACATCATGTGATCAAAATAGAATGTTCTACTAAAGTGAAATTGTGGTGAAACTCATGACCTATTCGCCAATAATAGACTAAACTGTTCGTTTGTAATTACTATAAACACAATTGTACACCTGCTGAAAACGACTCGACAAAAAGAAATTTTTCATAGCTGAATTAATTAGTGGCTTTGAAAACTAACAAAAAACTCTTTCAGTAGCATATTCAGCGTTATACACAGAGAGAAAATCAACATCTGCAGGGAGAGGAAAGGAGTAATCACTACGATCGATTGTTTCCACAATCAATTTTTAGTGGCAAGAAGTAAGGTTTTCATGTGTAGAAATAATACGATGATACCGAGACTCAACGATACCATCATCAATACTCGAGGAATTCGCGGATCATCTTCAAATTCACCACCTGCTAAACGGCTAAATACCACATTATGCTCAAAACCACGTCCAAGAGAATCTAAGATCGCAAATGCATCCACAAGTAAAAAAACTTACTACATCCTGGTTTATAGTAAGATTCTTCACTTTGTTCATCATCGATTCCATTCCCTAAGAGACACACAGAAATGCAAACAAAGAGGATTCACCTTCAATTGCACAAGAGAAACATATCACAAATTAATTCAAATTGTCAGACTTCAAAATGTAACTAGTATGCAGACTATCATGAACGAGATATCACGAACTACACAAAAAACGAAACTAAACACTTGCTTAATAAAGTTTTTAACGCTGATATAAAAAGTAAGATGAATGATGAATGCACCCGTGACACAAGGCATATATATATTCTTAGCAGAGACTTTCCACTATTCCACACAATTACAAAGCTGACCAGAATTTTAAACACTACGTCCGACAAATACAATTGAAGCTTGATGTATTGTTGAGAGTTCGCAAGTGACTGACCAGCTAGCTCATCACGGTTTGCATATGCGACTGTCCAGATCAGTGGAAGAGTGAACTAATCCACCACTCCACCAACACCCAATCAGTTCAAAATGTAGCAATTAGAAGAGCTCTGCGGTTCCCAAACATCTGTTAACGAAGGATTCTAAACCCATCTACTGAGAACTGTGTGAATTCTACTAAGTTCTTCTGGCCTTACATCCAGTGGATCATGTAATAAACTGTGAAGGGCGAGAAGAGAGCCATACGCTGTTTGACCAATGAGAAGACCACAGAAGATTTCGATTTCGCCGATGATGGTTTACGTCTAAGGTCTAATGTTGCACTGACTCGAAGATCTACAAGCGAAAACTAACAAGTTGGCACAACAGGTAGGGCAGTGAAGATGGGACTTCCTTCAAGTGAACGTAGAAAAGACATAGGTGATGAATATACCCAACCAACAACCACAACAACAAACACCAATCCGCATCAACGGGAGAAATCTAAAGCAAGTTACCTCTTTCACCTGACTGCCTACCTACTTACCTAGGCAGCGTAGTCACAACTACACGGATGAGGATGTTAAAGAAAACAAGACAGGCCTTCTCGCATTAATCTGAAATTAGTGTGGATATCTACTGCACTCCACTCAGCACAAAGCGTGAACAACATCCAGATTTTCAACACTAATGCCAGTCAAGTCAGTGCTACTATGTGGTGTTGAGGAAATTGGAGCGTTGAGAAAATCATTTGCAACAAACTACAGACATTCATCAACACCTGCTACCTACGCTCACTCGATACTGAAGACCAGATTAGATGGCCAGAAAGAATAAGCAACAAGGAACTCTGACCTGGGAATGAACCAACCAGGGACCTATCACCCAACGAATATGCAGAAGAAAGTCGAGATGGATTGGACATACACTGAGAAGACCAACTGGGGACATCACGCACCAGACCAGGCCACAACTTCGAGTGGAACCCAAGTGGGAAACGATGAGTTGGGCATCCCAGTATGACATGAAGGAGGACGTCTGAGGAAGAAATGAAAGCTTCTGGGCAGTCATGGAGCCAGATTCAAAAGACTGCAGAGAACAGAGTGAAATGGATACGTGCTACTGAAGCCCTATATTCCACTACGAACCCAAAGGACAAATAATAAAATTATGCAGGATATAAAATCCACGTTACTTTCGTGTACTTAATCTGAATCAGGTGTACAAATGAATCTTAGCAATTACATAAATTACACCATACCACACAAACACTGACATTAAGCAATATTAAACCAGTGTCCTATTATAGTATATGTTTACAGGACGGTAGAAATCATAGGGAATTATCAGCAAAGGGAAGAGATCCTGTCCAGAGAAAAGCAAGAGACAATCTGGGCGTACTAAGATCAAATCAAGATAGAAGTAGAAGAGGAAATAAAGCACATCACGCAAACGACTGCCTTACTGGTAGGTGTACAGTATTTGATGACCACTGTACAAGATGTCAATAATAAACATTCCTTCCTGAATCTCAACCTTCTTGTTTCCCACACTGTGAGTACATGACAAAGTTCTCCAAATATTCTTCACTCACAAGTTCCAATTAAATCTGACACAAAAAATGTCAAATAGATCACCATCATCCCGTCAAAAACAGCCTACCTTAAGCAATTCAACATATTGTGCTTTGCAGTAATCCATTTGTTTCTGCATCTCATTGTCATGCTCAATTTCACTGGCCACAAATCCAGCAGATAATGAAGCAAACTGATCCAACTGTTTGATTGTACAATCTAATTCTTCATCTGATTTTTTGTAAGCAGCTAACTGCACAGAGAAATAGTACAATGCAACGGTAAAGATAAAAGCAAATAAGATCATTCAGTCGATGATGTCACAGAGAAATCTGAATGATGACCATAAACAGATACGCACCTTGTGACTCGTCATTATCACACATGCAAAATTTAAGACAATCAAAATCACTGGCAAATTATTATAAACACCTTACTTGCTTTGCATTTCGCCAAACAATCCACTGTATCTACCATTGACTTTCTGTTTCCCTACTTAGTTCTTTTGCGCCGTTACTGAGACATTTAACTAAATCTACTATAAACTCACAAAAGTCAAAATGGTCTCACGTCTGTGCAACGATCCCTGTAGCGAATTACATCTACCGCGCCCTTTTAGCCTCTTTCATAACAGTGTCCACTTCTTCATACGCTCCGCTACAGTCTCGATGTGGTCGTCATCTCATCTACAAATCGCTATGCAACCATCATTTCTGATTTGGCCAAATTCTGTCTCATTTTTTCTCTCTATCATTTGAGCCCAATGAGTACGCACTGTGTACACAACTTATCTACTGAACTAACTCCTACTCGTATTTTCAGAATGACATCATTTCATTAACTGATACATTGAAGTTAGGTCCGTTTCCAGCACACACCTACTTCTGCTCAGCATAAAACTCTATTTCAGATACTGAAATCCTCACTTTTACACTATAAAGAAGGAGAGACAATTACACCTCTACACAACTCATGTCTCAAAGTTGTACAGTAACCCTGATATCATTATGGACAATAAAATTCAGTCCGAAGATTAATCCAGTATATAATACCTTCTCACTATGTGACACCTCACAAACAAAACAAAATACAATCAAAGCCAATTTAAAAACAAAACAGTCACGGTTACAATATAATTTATTCAGTAGGTTGCATAAAGCAAACATCACTAGCGCTAGTCACTGAAGACACGACTGCTGAAAATGAGAAAAGATAGTCAATCTAACAATTTGACTGCGAACAACGCACAATCCATTCGCAACGGATTATCTCCACTACAGTTAACTCGTTCACTGAAGGTGACACCAAGCTAACCTAACACAGAAGAGGAGGAAGATACACTGCTACTGACACCGGATCTCTTTCTCTCTCTCACACATACTTGACATTCATTCTCATCACTACAGTGCTGATTTGCGAGTTGTAATGACTGCTAATTTCTGAAACTACCACCACTATCATCAATGCAATCGCTTTAAATGAGAAAATCTAATTATGATCCAAACCTGCAGCATACAGGCAAATCTTCAAGTTCATCACCAAACTAACACATGATCTCCCATAATGCTAGCCAGCAAACAGAGCATCTTACGAGCGCTTGATTAAAACTAGCGCACACCAGCTTCTGTAATACACTATTGAAAGTAAAGAAGATTGAAGCTCAGTTTTATATTATGTCAGCAAATAGAGACATGTTAAACAACCAGTAAGCTGACTAGGCGTAAGATGCATAGATAGTGAGATCTCAACACATCCACCAATCCCATTTATTCACACTTCGATGGTAAATATAAACCGAAACAAATATAATCAAAAGAGCAAGGACAACAGAACCACACAAACTAACCATTAATAAACCACATCTTGCCATCTGGCTTACATACATACATAAGAAAAAGTATTCAAAATGATATCGAAACGCATAAGTCATATAATATAATATACCTGAGCATTTAGACATTGATTCAAACTATCCGCGCTATCGGAAAGAAATGTAACAAGCTCTTGAAGTGCTTTCATTTGTGGAATTATGACACTTTCACGGCCAGTCTTCGCTTCCGAAGCCTGCCTATCGGAAAACGCTTTGATCTCTTTAGCATCATCAGTACATTCATCGGCTAAGAAACTACGTAACTTCTGCATCATTTCTCGCTGCACTTTCATTGTATTACACGCTGATACCTTCAATTCTTCTCTCAAGTCACCTTGGAACATGAAAGCAGAAAACATCATGCAACATGATAGAAAGAAAAGTAAACTTTGACAAGTTCGTTTGTCATAATTAACATTCAACATACTACTAATCAGCTGCGTGTAAGGGATGCACAAGAGACAGCACATGTCCCTTGAGCTTCTCTTTCTTCAATTTAGTCCCACTTCTAAACCCTGCAAACACGAACAACACCTGCGTGCAGCAAATATACCCACTAGAATGATTTGGAAAACTGAGAACGTTTTCTATTTCCCTCATAACAACTAAGCAATGACTACTACCTCCGTAAAGTGGTTGAGATTACTCTATCGTCATAATTTACAATCCAGTCATTCTGACCAAACTCAATGTCTATACCACAAAGGTACTACTCGTAACTTCAAAATCACCTAAACTATTGGTTGTTTATCTTCTTGATCGCACTACATCAGTAATGTTAAACAATACATCACCGAAATTCATCCATTTAAAAACAAAAACATAAGTTAGAAAAGAAAAGTAGCGTAACTCACGGTCCACTTTGTTAAACTGATCAAAAAACAACTGAATTACTATTTGTGTACACTAAAATATTTTTCCTTAGTCCGCTGCTTATCATAGACATCAGACCTGAACAACAGCTTTTTCTATAACATGATTGTTCTCACCCTCACGCCAATCTAGAAGACCTACTGTGGATAAAATAACTATCAAAGTGAGTGAATGTGTATTGCGTATCAGTTTGCTCCAGTCAGCTCTACAGTTGTATAAAAACATGACTGGTAAAAGTTCACGAATGTAAACAGAGGTTTACAACCACAACCATTTTGGTAGCGTACGTCGTGTGAGTAAGGCAACTCGAATCGAAATGCACTCCACAACCTTGTGCACATTCATGCAGTAGACAGTGAGATATATTCGATTGTGTGAGGGCTAATGATACTACCTGCCTATCCATCCAGACCTTGGTAGATGGAGTGGTTACGACCCGTTGGCTGGAAGTAAACTCGCGAAACTAATGAACCAGGACTTCACCAACAGACACGTGGTTAGTCTTAATCCTCAGACCAACTTCTTATCAAATCTTCGAAGGTTGTCATAACAGAAAACACAAACAATACTCATCACTTTCATCGAAAAGCAGAATATTTACTCAATTCTTAAAGGATTGCATATTCAGTTATGTAATTAGGACACTTCAGTCGTGTGAACAAACCAGTTTCAGAAAATTGAGGAAAACGAGTACACTAATCATAAACTATGCTGAAAGTCATCAAAACTATTGCGTTAACCTGTGTTGAATATTCTCCTAAAAAGCTTAACACCGTCGCTTGTCATTTCTCGATAACTTCGGAATACAGTTGATAGCGAACACATAGTAGGGTAAAACACTACTCAAGTGTTTCCTAAAACCTCTTAGAACCAAGGTGTTTCACAGCATTTACAAGTGCCTAAATTTGGCAATCATTAGGTGCCTTTGAACTCACTTTCACCGCCATTTCACACAAAAAGACACGAAACTCTTTTTCCATAAATGCAAGTTATCTAGTGAAAATACTCCACATATTGTAACTACTGCTGGGGTTAGACAAACTGAACTCACTAACACCAACATTCTTTCCAAGACGACAACAATAAGTGAAACTAATAGCAATAGTGCTAACCAAAACCAGAAAGTCATGTGATAACGCTAATGGTATCCACTAATGAAAAGCCTCCATATGAATAGTCTCTCGTTATTTATAAGTATGAACTAACTCCAAATTGTGAACGGAAATATCGAAAATGGCCGTGAGTACAGATATGATACGCAGCAAACCAGCTTTCTAACAAGTGAACTTTGATCATGGTTATTAAACCGTGTAACCGACAACCAAAGTTACTTCAAACTATATTTCACTTACTTGCACTATCACGAACAAAATAGCAGAAATCCTTCACATCCATAGCAAGCGCAGAAATATCAGACACTGTAAGTGCCAAACGGTCAGGTAACCAAGCATTGTGTAACGTATCTACACGCTCACGGTTTTCTTTATCAAGATCAGAGAGACGAACCAACTTCTGATGCAAACCATTCATATCACCAATGGCAGAATCAGCAGTTGATAACAATGAATTCGCTTGTTCATGAAGACGCAATTCCGTCTTTTTATGTTCTTGACGTAGATACTCGGTCTCCTCGTAACGCTGCTTCAACTTCAGAAAACGTGCACGCATGCTTTCCTACAAAGAAGGACAAAGCTTTTTGCATGAGTGACGAAATCAGTAAAAACACTTTATAGTTTGAACGTACTTGTGCTTGTTTGCCACATGAATTAGCTTAGCATTTATGTAATACTTGATACGGTTCTGGGTTCTCACACAACCATTCATTAACTTGAAAATTACAACTACATTACAATGAGAACCCTGTGTAGTACCCCACATACTAGTGATCCGTACTCTAACAACACTTATATTCCCTTACAAAAGACAAACATCAATCTTTGAACACATTCAGCTATTGCGGAAAAATGCTACCACTAATGAAGTTTCCCGCAAACACTTAATTGCAATCTCAAGTGACATTTTATGCACCAGTTAAGAACGACACTATGTACATGGATAGCTAGAAAACAACTACATTGCCCTTAGTTGACAATTATTACAAGCGGCAGAGAATAGCAAAGTAACTAACCCCGTTTACACATACTAAAACTATGTACTCAAATAGAACAGACACCAACCTTTGCATATATGAATTGAAGAAGGCAATTTGTCGAGTTTACAGCTGTTTCACTAAGTGAAACCGTTGTTGAAAAAGTGCACTTCTTATGAGAACATATTTCAAGGGGCTTAACTCATGTCCAAAAAACTGACGCATTTTAAACACCACACCAATAAGGTATAAATGGGATTATATATATTCTGAATGATAGTCTGTCAACATGGATCAGTACTGTGGTGGGCCTCTACACAATATGCTTTGCCTGATTCATGACTAAATAAATTTAGTTGTTATACCACATCATATTTTAAAGTAACATGCTTGATAGTCTGAATTACATTTAGTCTGTTACAGCAAAAATGCACACAAATCTATTGCATAATGTGTCAACAACAACAACTCGAATCAAAAACTCACCAAATCTCTTCGATAGGCGACTAATTCGTTCTCCACCTCCTCTTTACGCATGCGAGTTACACTGAGTTCTTCCTGAGTAACAGTAAACAGTTCCTGAACTTGACTGATTTCCTCTTCCAAAATCTCTCGTCTTTCCTCAAGTTCACTTCAACATAAATTGAAAATTAAGTGGAAGTGAAAAAAGATAATAAGGAAGTAATTTCGTCTTACACATTAAGAGTAAATCAACCGATACCTCTAAACTTCGGTCTCGTACTTGTTGCCACTCATCACTGCTACGGTTGAGTGATACCGGTCTGAATTCCTCAAAAACTTGAGACACGCCTTCCTGCTACGTACCAACAAAGATCAGGGCTTAGTGCTGATTATCTAACAAAGTCGATACAGTGAAAACTCTACTGACCGAACTTCCGATTAAGTAGAAAATAAGTCCTACTGGAAACTGTCTGGCCTATTACACATAACAAAACATCTAAATATGGTTATCGTAGTAGGCGATTTCAATGCTTAAGTGCATAAGCCAAGCTAGGAAGAGGCAAGTTCGGCATGCTTATTTTGGACACTATGTAAACCAATTCCCATACGATTACAGAAACAGAACATGCCGACTACTAATGAGAACACAGAACTATGAAGTGCGAAAAACAGTAACACAACTGAATTCAGTCCATGAGCGCTAGATTAGTTACTTGAGCACTCATTACCCCTTGATGTTGGAATCTTCCCATATGCTATTGCAGCATTTACTTAACTGCCGTTTCCAAAGAGTAAGTAAACTGATCTCAAAGCTGCTTTCAATTCGCTCGAGGAATTCAAAATATCTACAAAAATCCTAACCACTCTAAAATAAAAACCAGTCCGCATCTAACCTGCCTCTATTTATCTAGTATGCAGTAAAGGTTCAAAATGATAAATTTCATGGTACTGCTGAGATCTTAATGGTGTTATGTTTTCTCAACACGAAGAATACAATGGTGTAAGATTACAGACCATTCATATTTTAATGCAGCACGACACACTAGCTTAAGTTGTTTACAGGATGACCTTGGACTTACCATATACGGACCCGTTGCTCAGCGAGTTGCGATTGCAGAGTCTGGTAGTTGTCCTCATCCACAAATATTCCATTCTTCGTTCTGGCAGCTTCAAGGTCTCGTCGTAAACGTTCTAACTCTTCATTATAGCTCCTGACCAAGTCAGTTTTGTTTAGTCTTGCGTTGATTTCCGGTCGGTTCTCAATATTCTTAGCTCGATGAGCATAGTCTAGTGTTGACAAGGTTTCCTCCAAAGAAGTCATACTAGGGCTTACAGTTGCAATGATTGACGTTTTCGTCCGCCCGCCTAGTGAGTCCTAAAATATTCGGATAATGAGCATGTATAGCAGTGTGGTCAAAGGATTGTGTGATTTCGAAAAGACTATCAACAATTATCTAATAAATTCAAGAGCCATATCAACAACTTATCTCCCGAGCTAATATCTTCACCATATGAAACTCAGTATACGGAGGGGATGAAACCGTTTACTCGTCTACTAACCATGTGTTCTAAAATTCACTAAAATTACTCTACCCCACGTGGAACTACACAAGTTTGAGCTCAAGAACTCATCACACGTAGACTGATATCTTCGCGAGTCTACTTACTTCTCCGATCATACAAAGATCAACAAATCAATATTAACATAGGATCAGGGATAACTCCATGATGGTTCGAGTTGCCACACTTCATATCACTACACGTAACAAGGCAGTGGGGCAAACAATGAAGACAGAAAACTCTGTCAAAAGCAGTAGAAAGCACTTAATAGAAATGAGAAAATGTTGAACTCAGTATAGCAGTCAAGATGACGATAAAGTGTGGATACGTCTGCGCGACTGACACCACTTCTGAGCCACATCAGCCGGAATCTTTAACCACTGGTTCCTCTTGTCCCACATACTTCAACCGGCTACTCTACACCTCCCAACATGGCTCAAACGGACAGTCAAGTACTTCATACAGTGACATATTGTAGTCTGGCCACCCCGAGCCCATTTTCAACCTGAACCTACATCAGCCAACATTGCACGACTAGGTAGACGGTGACCAGGCATGCGCAACACATGTCTCAGCTATCTCAGTTCATGAAGGTCCACAAACTCACCAATCGACCCACCTAGTACCCTTGGCTTGATCTCATCGCCGCTCACACGGTGATCTCACCAAACGCGAGCAACACTATGAAGACACTTGCAATCAAATACTTGTAACCACTCCACCTCTACTTTCAACGGCCGTCTGACAGCCGTGTAACAGGACAAAACGGACTACATTGCAGTATACTCGTCCTTTGGTAGATAGTTGGATATCTCAACAGTTGGTGCCACAGACAACGGGGTCTCTCTTTATGGGCTAAGATATCATTTCCAGACACCCTGTTTAAGCTGATGCAACTACCCAAGTAAGTGAAGTAGTCGATGCATTTCACTCCCTATCAGTAAACTGGGAGTAGTTGCAGATCAGTTCTGGAGTATCATCTTACACTAAGTGCGAAACGCATGCCAGTCAAACATACATTCCTACTCAGTGCATCCACGGCCTCACCGACTGACTTGCCTTTCTCCTCTATAACCCTTCACCCAACCTCGATATCACTCACATGACAAATGGTACGAAAGACCCACAACTTCAGGTGTAGCAGAGGTATCAGGCACTTACTTAAGTCTGACCTGTGTAAATAAGTGTCGTATGCGTCCTCCAACAGCCTTGAAATTCACTCCTTTAACACTAGTATTTACTTTGTCATTTTCACTGCGATCGTTATTCTTCTCTCTACATTATTTCAACACCTCAAGCAGATATGTAGCTCTGAGACTTCACGTCCACAGACAATTGGCATCTCATTAAGTTCTACGCTTTTTCTTCTACTTATATAAACACATACATACGTACGTGGAACTATGCCTCAGAGGTTTAGGGACGTGACTATTAACGAGTGGGTCACGAGTTCAAACCTCGCCACACCACACCTACCGATGTTTGGGCAGGCAGGTAGTATCATTAGTCTTCACACAATGGGTGTGGCTCATATTCTACTGCATGGATGTGCACAAGGTGGTCAAGTGCGTTTCAGTGGTTTGCACATACATGCGTTTCGAATATTAGAACACAAAAAGCTTCCAACTTTTGGTAATATCTCCAGTTTGTCAGCACAAATATCGTGTTAGCATTCGATACGAATATGTTGATGATAAACTGACATCCAACAACTCGAAAGCTTTCCTCGGGTACAATTTCCGTTGGCTCCCATCAGCTCACTGACCACTGCGAAGTCTTTTGTGTATATGTTCAGTGTCACAGCACTAATACAACCACACCACATTTCTTATGCAACAATACAGATGCTTACTTGTTCATAGTGACCATAAATATAGTTGTACAGCTTCAATCCGTATCATGGATGAATGAATAATTTTCTTCGCCAAATCCTCTACTCTTTTCTTCGGAATGAGACACCAAGAAGATTAAAAGGTAGGGACCATAAGTAACAATTAACCAGATGGCCTTGGAATAACTAATTAGTATCCTTCAACCCTAAAAACGCATTCCAACGACAAGCGTACTATGAGAATTGGAAGAGTAAGAAATCTTTAGATGGATGTAAATCCATCGCGTGAACTACAAGCGTTTCGGTTAATCTTTAGTGCTCTAATGGAAACGTTCGGCCGACCTTCATGTGTCCACCACAGTTCGGTTTAAAAGCTACCAACTTCTCAAACTCCATTCTCCAGAATTATTCGGTCAAATCTACATGAATCCTGATGGTTGAGTTGACGAAATAGAAAATAGGCCTTTTGTAACAGACGCCTCCGATGTTGTTTAATCGCTTCAGTACACCTTTCCGACATCTTTGACCCAGCGTAAAGGATTTTCAGGGGATTCTCGAGATTCCAGAATAGGCTTTAGGCAACTTCTTCGCTTGTTAGCCTCACGGTACGACGAACATACTTTGAAGGCGAGAACTAGTACTTCCATTCCGACTCACCCTGTCCAAACAAAACCGAACAGTATCTGAATGGAACTGTGAACTCTATTCATCGTTACCTTCCTGTTAGTCAACACTAAGCAGCGATGTCGCTGTTTCTTATCTAGTTGCGATCACTAACATTTGCACCTGTCACAAAAGATTTGACATAGCCATTAGGTTGATGCTCTATCAACGTACTTCATGAATATTACACTGATCTTAAAAGGATGCAAAGATTCATGACCGTAGTTCACGTACAGAGGTCCTCAAATCCCAACTGGTGGACTACAAGTTCAGGCAATGCATTATTCTACCAGCTACCGGAGGAAGGTTCATGGACTAGTACATATACTTGTTCTTAATCCGTACCATTACTTGACTACAACAACGATGTGAAAAAAAGTACAACACTAATTACATACAAAATATCTAGGTACAACCTCGTGCAGAAGCGTATGCATTAGTTAATACAATTTGCCAACTTTCGTGCCCAAAATACTTCGTACTAAAACAAGTAATCACCTTCAAACTCTACCAACTTTCCAAAGTGAACAACCACTGACATATTCCAAATCCTCCTTACATGCCACCAACGCACACCTTAATTTCGTACTATCAAACCAACCGAAATTCGTCACATCTCCAACTTTGCCACTTATACAAACTTATATGTCGCTAATAAGGGTTCATTCGTCACCCGTCTATTTAATCACCAACTAAATGAAACCAACTAACAAACAATTGCAAACCAATTAATTACCTGTAACAAACGAGTCAACTTGCTCTCTCTGTACGGTATGTGAGGTGCACGTTCCACAAGTGCCGTTATTACGCGACCCAAAGTTAGCAAGCTTTGGTTGATTGATCCTGCTTCCCGAGCTCGTTTCTCCACAGCACCTGACCTGCCAACATTCTCACTACCCGCAAGGTCGACAAGGTGGAGCTTTCCAATACGCAGCAACTCCTCATTAGTGACTAGGTTTGTTTCCTTTATATGCACTGTAACCGTAAAAATAGAATGAGAACGACTGGAAGTAAGGAACGCGTGTAAAGTACCTTGACTGTGCATTCAAAAGGGTTGCGGCCGTCTGTCGTCTGGCAAGACCACGTTCGATGACGCTATGTACGTCGTTCTTATCCAGGACCATCACTTCCCGAAGACCCTTAATAATAACGGAACCCTTGCGGTTCAAATCATCATATACGCTAAGATGAGATACATCCTCCGTAGCGGAAAGGAGGTCGAACAGCTCTTCATTATAAACTTCCAAGAAAGAGACACGAACGGAAAAGTCAGATCCCTAAGAATGTAGAACTTCAGTGAACAACATACATTCGATTGTAGTGTCTCGAATAGGTGACTGACCGCACGTGGGATGATGCCGGCCAACGGATCTCCTTCCCAAGAGTATCTGAGTTGATCCGACCTACCACCGGTCATGGTAAATGTCTTACCACTACCCGTAGGACCATAGCTAAAAAAGGTCAATCACATGTAAGCAATGGAACTCACGCAAAAATCGTGCAGTTGTAGCCTGCTATTATCTCGCCAATTATGGGAGCAACCATACTCTTATAGACATCAATTTGTTTAGAAAATTGGTTGAAAACATAGTCGAAGGTGAAAACTTTAGATACACCTTTTTCTTTGACAGTAACTTTATTCTGCGAACACTCCACACACGTGCGCACTCCCTTCTCCAACTCCTGCTTGTTTGAAGGTCTAAGCAATATTTGAGTGAAAATTGTGAGAACTCTAACCTGCAACGAACAGCCACACGAATATTCTGTTGCGTATCCTTACTTGACATTTTTTAAAAACAAACCCCGCTCTTAGAATGGTTACGGTAGTTGTCGCTGGTGCTAAACAAATGTTCCAAACGGTACAAATAGTTATTAGCGGGATAGAAGAAGCTTTCGTGTTACCGGAATCTGCGTCTAAAATTCGTGTATCACTACTTTTTGTTGTCGTTAACGTGTGTAAAATTGAGGAGAGAGCGAAATTCGCCGTAGCATTTTGAAAATTCAGTCAGTTCTGAGCAGATCCCCTCCCCGTCTCAACCAAGTATCAAACCGGTGTTAAGTGGATACACGCCATGTATCCCGGATCATCTCTACAAGAGGGGTATTCCGGGGTCTAACAACTCTTTGAGAATAGAAGTTGTGTTCGGTGTGTAACATACTATGTTCTGGGCCGTTTCTCTAAGGCTGGTGCTACAATAGAGGTTCAGTAAGTGACTGGGTGAGCTTCCAGGTGTCCTCAAGATGTTGTGAGTCATTATGAAGTTTCCTCTGAGCCTCCTATATTCCAAGGGATACAGGTTAAGCACAACCATTACTAAGAAACTGTCTTCGAATGTCAAGGACGATAACCGCGATCGAGTCAACTTAGTGTGAATCTACGTTTCTCCCATCGTGGTGTCAACAGCTGGAACTCCTTACCTCAGCAAGTAGTATCACCACCTTCTGTCAACGCGTTCAAGGAGAAACTAGATCTTCACAGGGATATCTTCCGCAAGGATTAACACAGGCCAACTGGACTATTATACTTATAACTGTAAACTGAAACTGAACTGTGATAGTGATGATGATACAGCATTCATTGACACACGGGTTTCTGTGCAAAACTTTAGGAACTTCCTACGACAAGCTGTAAGTTGGGCGCGTAGACTGTCTACTAGGTTTGCTGACAGCGACTTGAAAAAGACTACACTAAGCAGGGTGAGGCGAGTATCTTCTGGATCTCGCATCCCCAGGGCTGGCAGACCCAGTCTGCCGGACTTAAGACCAGGTCTACTCCAGATGAAAGGAACAGGAGTGAGGGGCTCTCAGTTCCAACGACGGAGCCATGCAGGCCGCTGGTCATACCCAGTTCGGCAACCCAATCACTCACGAAGACCACGCAGTTTGGAGTGCAAGTCCATTCTGAGGCTCTCAGTGTCAAGGTCACTGGACTAGGCTTTACTACACCTTGCATGCCCGACCCTGAAAAATGGCAAATAACTAAGCCCCAACGACATGCTAAGAATCCAATAACGGTAACCGAGTCAGCTATCATCACTCCACATGGCAAAGACAAAGTAGAGACCCCAGACAGGTCCGTAATTTTCCACAGAGTGAATAAGGTAGAGACCCAGAACCACGTAAACGTTTCGGACATGACCTTGGCAAGGTACATAGTTTGACAAACCAGCGTTTACCAGAAAACATGCCAGGAGTCACCATACTCAAGATATATAGAGTTGGGAAACAGGAAACAATCATCCCTCAAAATAAGTTTCGGCTACTTAAAGTGGTGTTCAAGTCAGCAGATGAGAGGTATAAGATTCTGAAGAATGTACATGAACTTCAGGGATCTGGAGTGTTCGTGCAAAAGGATCTGGCCCTTGCTTATCGAATCGAGCAACGAGAAGCAGTGGCAGAACTAAAATCGAAATTAGCACCTGGAGAGCAAGATCTGAAAGTTGTGGGTCTTCGTGTAGTGAGGTTTCGGCAACAAATGGTGCCGAAGCCTCTTTGGATATGATGGGGACTCATTTAAGTAGTTTCGTTATCTTGTACACAAATGCACGTAGTCTTTTAAACAAGTGGACTGAGCTTAGTAACGTGATAAGCAACGAAAGCCTGACATCATTGCTATCTCAGAAACTTGGTTCTCTTCTTGGATCAGTGACTGTGAAACACACTTACGGGGATTCATCCCTCCCAGAAGTGACAGGTTAGCACGCAAAGTTGGTGGCATTATCCTTTACGTTAAGAATAGCTTACATGTGAAGGCTGTAGAAACAGTTGCACATGAAATTGGGACATGTGAAATGCTGCGCTGCAGACTAAAATGCAAGGGGCAAGATGTTAACTTATTCGTAATATATAGAGGCCCTGACTGTGAGGAAGCAGACTTCCTCCTGAGTAAGCCGACCCTCTGGAAAGATGAACGTCGATGTCCAGCTGTAGGAGGCTTCAACACACCGTCAGTTGACTGGGATAGACTGACAATAAAAGCACCACGTAATTCGTCCGCCACCGTTTGGTGGAAACATTAATTCCCTTAGCCCCCATACAGCATATCACGACATCAACTAGATATGATCATCAGAATAATCCATCAGTTCTAGACTCAGTATTCTCACATACAGATGATGTATGCTTCACCCGGCACCTAGCACCCCTTGGTAAAAGTAATCACGTTGTGGTCATCCCCAGATTCACCGCAGACGTCTTGTACCAGGCCGATGCTCCAGCTATACTCAACATATGGAAGGCGAATATGGAAGCTATAAACTCCGTGGATGTCGATCGTAATGATGTATTTTGGACACAAAGTACTCTCCATGTAGAAAAATCAACAGGACCGGGTGAGCTGCACCCGAGGCTGCTCAGACAGCTTGCACTCCATGTAGCTGGCCCATTGACTACTATATTCAGACTGTCTCTCAGTGAAGACACACTCCCCTGTGACTGGAACGATGCCATAGTAACACCTATCCACAAGGCAGGTTCTAGGCAGCTCTCATCAAATTACAGACCGATAAGTTTGACTAGTGCTGTAGCAAAAATCCTAGAAAGAGTAATCAAGAAAGCCATCATAGTCCACCTAGGGAGCAACACCCTATTATCTCGTTCACAGCATGATTTCCGTAGAAATTTCTCTTGCTTGACGAAACTTCTAGCAGCCAGAGAAAGTTTGTGTAAGTCCAAAGATGACCGAATACCTGTAGCCGTCACTTTCATTGACTTTAGTAAGGCGTTCGACAAAGTACCTTATTACAGGTTGCTCAGGAAACTGGGAAGTTTTGTAATCACTGGCAGTCTGCTCGCATGGATGAGAGACTTTCTTGTTGGTAAGAGACAAAGAGTTAGGATCAATTCTCAAGTCTCCACTTGGAAGCCGGTAGAGAGTGAAGTGGCGCAATGCACAATCCTGGGCCCCCTACTGTTTCTCCTATACTCACACGAACCGCCAAACACCATGAATCCCCCATGGTTCCTTACGCCAATGATGTCAAAATCTGGCGGGAAATCAGGGATGATGAGGATATACGTGCGTTTCAGGCAGACCCAACCAACTTGTTTACCTGGTCAGAGAAGCGGCTGATGCCTATAAATGCGGGTAAATGTATTAGCACGCACTTGAGGCACACACAAAGCAACACTTACGATATTGATGGGACTCTTTTACCGCCAGTACTGACCCACAATGACCTAGGAGCCACGGTTAGTCATGACCTGAAAACTTTTGCACACTAACTGACCCCAACCGACTCCCAGAAGGGGTGGTGTCCGCATCATCAATTGACTCGTTCAGAAGGGATTGGACGAGCCCAGAAATCCACTGGGACAAGATTAATTTAGGCTGCCAGACTCCTATCCTGAAACAGCAAATCTGAATCCGAATCCAAACCAGTCGTTCTTTATATGTTTCAGACCTAAGTCCTTGAACAGGCTCGCTCAAGCGCCTCTGGATGCGTTCTTAACTTGGTTTGTCCCCGAAACTTTAAAGTTCGAACATCGTGTTGTAGAATTAGTGAGGAGCGGTTCCTTAAGGTTCTATGTTTGTCTTATTGGAATACGTTCTGGGTTTAAAATGGCCACAATTATCTTCCCGGTTCCGAAAAGCCTGAATGGATAGAGGTTAACTAATTATTGATCAGTCTGGTCTCAAAATTGTACTACTGCGCCCGATCTGCAGATGACGAGAAGCTTCTCGAGTACAGCCCGTCGGTACTGCAGGACTCAAGGTATGCGTCTAACCCCCTTTTAAAAGTATCAGGGGATGGTGCTGTAACAACCGCTGAGAAGGAGTTAGACCCCTAAAGTTTGCGAGTGAAACCCCGAGACTCCATAGGCCTTGTTGGCTGCCAGGCGACAGTGTACTGAGGCTCTTAGTGTGTCACGTAGTGTAACCCCCGGATCTTCTTCCACGTTAGGGTGACAGATATTTATTTCACCTAGAGAGTAAGAACGGGGACTGCTTTTGTGACTGTCAACTATCATTATCCAACACTTCTTTGAGAGTTGAGAGGAAGCAGGTTTTCTGCAATCCAATTTGAGATTTTCGTAGGCCTACCTGGAAGACCGAAATATCCGTTGTCACCTATATTTCCCTCCAACTCTTCAGGTCATCGGCCTATAAAAGCGAATGAGAACTGAGGGCTGCTGGTAGGTCACTGATAAAAGCGGTATTGGGCCCAGAATAGAACCTTGAGGCACACCGCTTAGCATCAGGAACCGGTTAGATGGAGAGGAGTCAACCCTGACTAACAGAAACCCCTTGTAAAGATGACGAATAAGTAAATATCTTTATTCTCAAGTTATGAAATTAATCTCTGAACCAAACCGGTAATCTTCCGCGTACACCCATGAGCTTTCCACAGGTCCCGGTTATAGGAGATTTCAACTTTCCTCAACCCTTTAACACTGAAAGTCCGTCTGCTTCTTTAAATGACTTTCGGGAACTATTACCGGAGAACTCCTCGACTGAACATGTCTCCCAGCGCACTCACTGGGGGTTTGACCGCAAGGCGTTCCGACTAGATTAGATTTTCACAAGCCAGTCCATTGGGGTAACCAACTTGAATGTTCCTAGCCCTCTTGGATTGAGTGACCATGCGTTATTTCCTTCAGCATTTCTGCATCTGAGCCACCCGCTCCCGACCAGCAACTAGTCAGGAATTACAGGAGAACTGGTTTTGAGAAGGTCCGGCAAGATCTAGAAGGCTCCACTTGCTTAAATCACGATGACCAACTGGATCTGCATATCAGATGGGATCTTTTTGAGGACACAATCCCCAAGATGATAAAAGATAACACTCCTATGAACCCAAGAACAACTAAGAAATT